TACCACTGTCGTTTTTTTTTCGGGTCGAATTTTTGAGTTTCGATATCTCAGCTCTGGAAGGTCTAGAGCCTCCATTTTGCACTCAGGTTTAAGTCTCATGCCCTCTATCAGAATCCAGAGTTTTGAGAAGATTGGAGAAACCTTAATTTTTCGCCCAAAAAAAAAAAAAACGTAAGGGGTACCACTGTCGTTTTTTTTTTTCGGGTCGAATTTTTGAGTTTCGATATCTCAGCTCTGGAAGGGTCTAGAGCCTCCATTTTTGCACTCAGGTTTAAGTCTCATGGCCCTCTATCAGAATCCAGAGTTTTGAGAAGATTGGAAACCTTAATTTTTCCCAAAAAAAAAAACGTAAGGGGTACCACTGTCGTTTTTTTCGGGTCGAATTTTTGAGTTTGATATCTCAGCTCTGGAAGGGCTAGAGCCTCCATTTTTGCACTCAGGTTTAAGTCTCATGGCCCTCTATCAGAATCCAGAGTTTTGAGAAGATTGGAGAACCTTAATTTTCGCCCAAAAAAAAAAAACGTAAGGGGTACCACTGTCGTTTTTTTTTCGGTCGAATTTTTGAGTTTCGATATCTCAGCTCTGGAAGGGTCTAGAGCCTCCATTTTTGCACTCAGGTTTAAGTCTCATGGCCCTCTATCAGAATCCAGAGTTTTGAAAGATTGGAGAACCTTAATTTTTCGCCCAAAAAAAAAAACGTAAGGTACCACTGTCGTTTTTTTTTCGGGTCGAATTTTTGAGTTTCGATATCTCAGCTCTGGAAGGGTCTAGAGCCTCCATTTTTGCACTCAGGTTTAAGTCTCATGGCCCTCTATCAGAATCCAGAGTTTTGAAGATTGGAGAACCTTATTTTTTCGGCGAAAAAAAAACCGTAAGGGGTACCACTGTCGTTTTTTTTTTCGGGTCGAATTTTTGAGTTTCGATATCTCAGCTCTGGAAGGGTCTAGAGCCTCCATTTTTGCACTCAGGTTTAAGTCTCATGGCCCTCTATCAGAATCCATAGTTTGAGAAGATTGGAGAACCTTAATTTTTCGGCCAAAAAAAAAAAACGTAAGGGGTACCACTGTCGTTTTTTTTTCGGGTCGAATTTTGAGTTTCGATATCTCAGCTCTGGAAGGGTCTAGAGCCTCCATTTTTGCACTCAGGTTTAAGTCTCATGGCCCTCTATCAGAATCCAGAGTTTTGAGAAGATTGGAGAACCTTAATTTTTCGCCAAAAAAAAAAACGTAAGGGGTACCACTGTCGTTTTTTTTTCGGTCGAATTTTTGAGTTTCGATATCTCAGCTCTGGAAGGGTCTAGAGCCTCCATTTTTGCACTCAGGTTTAAGTCTAATGCCCTCTATCAGAATCCAGAGTTTTGAGAAGATTGGAGAACCTTAATTTTTCGCCCAAAAAAAAAAAACGTAAGGGTACCACTGTCGTTTTTTTTCGGGTGAATTTTGAGTTTCGATATCTCAGCTCTGGAAGGGTCTAGAGCCTCCATTTTTGCACTCAGGTTTAAGTCTCATGCCCTCTATCAGAATCCAGAGTTTTGAGAAGATTGGAGAACCTTAATTTTCGGCCAAAAAAAAAAAAACGTAAGGGGTACCACTGTCGTTTTTTTTCGGGTCGAATTTTTGAGTTTTGATATCTCAGCTCTGGAAGGGTCTAGAGCCTCCATTTTTGCACTCAGGTTAAGTCTCATGGCCCTCTATCAGAATCCAGAGTTTTGAGAAGATTGGAGAACCTTAATTTTTCGCCCCAAAAAAAAAAACGTAAGGGTACCACTGTCGTTTTTTTTTCGGGTCGAATTTTTGAGTTTCGATATCTCAGCTCTGGAAGGGTCTAGAGCCTCCATTTTTGCACTCAGGTTTAAGTCTCATGGCCCTCTATCAGAATCCAGAGTTTTGAGAAGATTGGAGAACCTTAATTTTTCGCCCAAAAAAAAAACCGTAAGGGGTACCACTGTCGTTTTTTTTTCGGGTCGAATTTTTGAGTTTCGATATCTCAGCTCTGGAAGGGTCTAGAGCCTCCATTTTTGCACTCAGGTTTAAGTCTCATGCCCTCTATCAGAATCCAGAGTTTTGAGAAGATTGGAGAACCTTAATTTTTCGCCCAAAAAAAAAACGTAAGGGGTACCACTGTCGTTTTTTTTTCGGGCGAATTTTTGAGTTTCGATATCTCAGCTCTGGAAGGGTCTAGAGCCTCCATTTTGCACTCAGGTTTAAGTCTCATGGCCCTCTATCAGAATCCAGAGTTTTGAGAAGATTGGGAAACCTTAATTTTTCGGCCAAAAAAAAAAACGTAAGGGGTACCACTGTCGTTTTTTTTTTCGGGTCGAATTTTTTGAGTTTCGATATCTCAGCTCTGGAAGGGTCTAGAGCCTCCATTTTTGCACTCAGGTTTAAGTCTCATGGCCCTCTATCAGAATCCAGAGTTTTGAGAAGATTGGAGAACCTTAATTTTTCGCCAAAAAAAAAAAAACGTAAGGGGTACCACTGTCGTTTTTTTTTCGGGTCGAATTTTTGAGTTTCGACATCTCAGCTCTGGAAGGGTCTAGAGCCTCCATTTTGCACTCAGGTTTAAGTCTCATGGCCCTCTATCAGAATCCAGAGTTTTGAGAAGATTGGAGAACCTTAATTTTTCTCCAAAAAAAAAAACGTAAGGGTACCACTGTCGTTTTTTTTTCGGGTCGAATTTTTGAGTTTCGATATCTCAGCTCTGGAAGGGTCTAGAGCCTCCATTTTTGCACTCAGGTTTAAGTCTCATGGCCCTCTATCAGAATCCAGAGTTTTGAGAAGATTGGAGAACCTTAATTTTTCGGCCAAAAAAAAAAACGTAAGGGGTACCACTGTCGTTTTTTTTTTTTTCGTTTCTGAGTAATATCTCATTCTCAGGCTCTAGGGTCTAGAGCCTCCATTTTTGCACTCAGGTTTAAGTCTCATGGCCCTCTATCAGAATCCAGAGTTTTGAAGATTGAGAGACCTTAATTTTTCGCCCAAAAAAAACGTAAGGGTAGTACCACTGTCGTTTTTTTTTCGGGTCGAATTTTTGAGTTTCGATATCTCAGCTCTGGAAGGGTCTAGAGCCACCATTTTTGCACTCAGGTTTAAGTCTCATGGCCCTCTATCAGAATCCAGAGTTTTGAGAAGATTGGAGAACCTTAATTTTTCGCCCAAAAAAAAACGTAAGGGGTACCACTGTCGTCGTTTTTTTTCGGGTCGAATTTTTGAGTTTCGATATCTCAGCTCTGGAAGGGTCTAGAGCCACCATTTTTCACTCAGGTTTAAGTCTCATGGCCCTCTATCAGAATCCAGAGTTTTGAGAAGATTGGAGAACCTTAATTTTTCGCCAAAAAAAAAAACGTAAGGGGTACCACTGTCGTTTTTTTTCGGGTCGAATTTTTGAGTTTCGATATCTCAGCTCTGGAAGGGTCTAGAGCCTCCATTTTGCACTCAGGTTTAAGTCTCATGGCCCTCTATCAGAATCCAGAGTTTTGAGAAGATTGGAGAAACCTTAATTTTTCGCCCAAAAAAAAAAAACGTAAGGGGTACCACTGTCGTTTTTTTTTTCGGGTCGAATTTTTGAGTTTCGATATCTCAGCTCTGGAAGGGTCTAGAGCCTCCATTTTTGCACTCAGGTTTAAGTCTCATGGCCCTCTATCAGAATCCAGAGTTTTGAGAAGTTTGGAGAACCTTAATTTTTCGGCCAAAAAAAAAAACGTAAGGGGTACCACTGTCGTTTTTTTTTTCGGGTCGAATTTTTGAGTTTCGATATCTCAGCTCTGGAAGGGTCTAGAGCCACCATTTTTGCACTCAGGTTTAAGTCTCATGGCCCTCTATCAGAATCCAGAGTTTGAGAAGATTGGAGAACCTTAATTTTTCTCCCAAAAAAAAAAAACGTAAGGGGTACCACTGTCGTTTTTTTTTCGGGTTGAATTTTTGAGTTTCGATATCTCAGCTCTGGAAGGGTCTAGAGCCTCCATTTTTGCACTCAGGTTTAAGTCTCATGGCCCTCTATCAGAATCCAGAGTTTTGAGAAGATTGGAGAACCTTAATTTTTCGCCCAAAAAAAAAAACGTAAGGGGTACCACTGTCGTTTTTTTTTCGGGTCGAATTTTTGAGTTTCGATATCTCAGCTCTGGAAGGGTCTAGAGCCTCCATTTTTGCACTCAGGTTTAAGTCTCATGGCCCTCTATCAGAATCCAGAGTTTTGAGAAGATTGGAGAACCTTAATTTTTCGCCCAAAAAAAAAAAACGTAAGGGTACCACTGTCGTTTTTTTTTCGGGTCGAATTTTTGAGTTTCGATATCTCAGCTCTGAAGGGTCTAGAGCCTCCATTTTTGCACTCAGGTTTAAGTCTCATTGCCCTCTATCAGAATCCAGAGTTTTGAGAAGATTGGAGAACCTTAATTTTTCGCCAAAAAAAAAAACGTAAGGGTACCACTGTCGTTTTTTTTTTCGGGTCGAATTTTTGAGTTTCGATATCTCAGCTCTGGAAGGGTCTAGAGCCACCATTTTTGCACTCAGGTTTAAGTCTCATGGCCCTCTATCAGGTCGAATTTTTGAGTTTCGATATCTCAGCTCTGGAAGGGTCTAGAGCCACCATTTTTGCACTCAGGTTTAAGTCTCATGGCCCTCTATCAGAAACCAGAGTTTTGAGAAGATTGGAGAACCTTAATTTTTCGCCAAAAAAAAAAAAACGTAAGGGGTACCACTGTCGTTTTTTTTTCGGGTCGAATTTTTGAGTTTCGATATCTCAGCTCTGGAAGGGTCTAGAGCCTCCATTTTTGCACTCAAGTCTAAGTCTCATGGCCCTCTATCAGAATCCAGAGTTTTGAGGAGATTGGAGAAACGTAATTTTTCGCTCGAAAAAAAAAAACGAAAGGGGTACCACTGTCGTTTTTTTTTTCAGGTCGAATTTTTGAGTTTCGATATCTCAGCTCTGGAAGGGTCTAGAGCCTCCATTTTTGCTTTAGAAATGTAGGTAATTGCAGTTTTATTCATTTTGCCAGTACTCACCAGCACAGGAAGTAGTAGGGCCATGTACCCCCCACAAAAGATGGCAAAGAAGATAGCGTAGACCATGAGCAAGATGTAGGAGGTGGCCAGAGGGGAGAGAAGATTGACCACACCACACAGGATCAGGTAGGTCTTATGGTAGTGATATTTGTTAACTAGATTCCTGTCTGTCACCCAACCAGATGCAAGTTGGGACATTGTCTCTGTTATACCTGTGAGACAGAAAAGGCGCTGAAATGATGGACTGAAAATGGACCACTTATTGTTGGATTCTTTAAAGCTTTCATGCTTATATTCAAGTATTACATTAAGACACTAGCAGATGGCAACACATTAATGAGTGAGCTTTAAAGTTATGCAGCTTATTACTTTTTAAATGCTGATCACTGATTACCAAACCTGTTTGACCTCTTTTTTAAGATGCAAAATGACAGAAAGCCCCCTAAAGGTGAAATGTCATTCATTCAATGCTTTCCACATGTGAGAATAAATTAATTATTCAATTACTCAAGGATGCATTACATTGATCAATAGGGACAGTAAAAGCTTTATAACATTAAACTATTTTTCTATTTTAAATAAATGCTGTTGTTTTGAACTTTCTATTCATCAAAAAATCCTGAAAAAAAGCATCACAGTTTCTTTAGCATCAAATCTGCATAATGATTTCAGAAGGATCATGTGAGAAGGCTAATGCTGAAAATGTAGTTTTGCCATCACAGTAATACAGTACATTACATTTTAAAATATATTAAAATAGAAAACAATTTATATAAATATTTCACAATATTTCAGTTTTTACTGTATTTTTGATCATCAAATAAATGCAGCCTTGTGAGTATAAGACTGTGTTTATAAGACTTCTTCTTCTTCAAAAAAAAAAAAAAAAATGTTACTACCCCAAACTTCTGAACTAACAAGAAATATTGAGAAAGAGTGCTTAACTGTCAGTCAATTGCTTTTAGCCTCTGGCAGAATCAATTTTTTTTTTTTTTCAGTTCAAAGAGTGACAGAAAAACAATAAGTAAAAAAGTATTGATAACATCTAGTTATTTTGTGGTGTCCTGTACAAAGCATTCAGTCCTGGTTTATATTTGCTGTTCTCTGAGCCGCAGTTGTGATTGCGTGTCCGTGTGCTGCAGAGCTTTATTGAACAGTCTAGGAAAAGCTCTGATGCAGCACTATTGGAGACTCATACATACGCAACAGATACAAAGTGGAACACACACTGCTGACATACAGGCTGCCACACTTTATTGGATGTATAAAAATTGCACATATGCCTCACATTGGATCATATTTATCCTGTAATTCATTCATAATCTCTTAAGTAACGAAATGTTTACACAAAAACCTAGACGTGTTGGCATGATCAACCAGACTGACCAGGCCTATTTCCCAAAGGCAACGTAAGGCTAAGTTCATCTTAGAACAATTGCCACCAATGGCTAAAGATGCTTTTGGGAAACACAGCCCAGCTCGTGTGGAACTGACGGCTTGAGCTGATGCTGCAGTTCGTGCACATGTGGGGTCATTTATTGCTGGCCAAACATAAAACAAAACAGCTGCTCAATGTTTGCGTGTCCTCGCTGCGCCACTAAAGGTGACATCCTGGTGTGCCCCGCTTGGACCCGAAGACATTTTGTGCGTTGTTTGTGTATTTAAATCCCAGCAGGGCCATTGAGTTTCACAGCTGTTCCTGTCATGCTTTGTACAATGAAACTTCAATGCAAAATCTCTGTGACAGAAAGTAGTAAACTGCCTTTAAATGGAGGAGCCTAGTCCACAAAACTCAGTAGTGTATAGGGGGACATTCACCAGGGTAATCGGGCATGTGACAGGTGTTTGTGTCTTTGTGTACTTCACCCAGTGGACACAAAAGCCCTGGACGAATGCAATGTCCCCACTACATCAAAGGCAGACAATAGCCCTCACTGAGGTACAGAGAGTCCAAATGCATGTCCGATCGCTACTAGCTCATTAAAACACAAAACGTGTTTGGCTCGTCTCCTCGCCCTCTTTTGTCCGCATTGCTGCCTCGTGGCAAGCCACACAATATCAGGCACTTCAGAACTGGGCACAGAACTACCAAGCTTCGCGTCAGCTACTTGGGCTGTTGCTTAGCGACTTCCCTCAGCTCGCCGACTGTGTGTGACCTGCCACGAGGAGGTGAGCTTTTAGTTCCCTGCTCACCCTGCCTGATGAGAAAACTGCAAAGTGCAGGTGGGAGGAGACGTTTGGAATGCGCGAGTAATATATTTACACTGAAAATTGCACTGTAAATACTCAACACTTAATTAAGCGAAAAACTGGGAAATGTTGGACACTATATTCTCTCAAGTTCCGTAGCGGAGGGTTGGGCCATCAGACTCTAATGCTGGAATTTACAAAAATAACCGCAATTACAAAAATTACTAGCAATTTTTTTTTTCTGGAGCAGTTTGTTTTTTGACAGGCAAAATAGAAAATGGCTAAATTAAATAAAAACAGTGGCTTCAAAAAGTATTTGGACACTTACATTTTTTTTTTTTTTTAAATGGCATCTGTGAAAAGTGATGCTAAAATTTTCCCTTTGAGAGATTTTGCAGTGATTTATGAATTAAAAAAAATAATACTTTGCTCGAAATGTGTGCTTGCTGTATTTAAAATAAATTATATATTATTTTATTTTTGTCATATTATTTAGAGACATTCATCCATTTTTGGTGAGACTCTGAAAAGTTACTTTTTGGTTACTAGGTATACGCGATTGCATTTTATTCTTAATTATTTTACAAAATAGTTACTAATTTTATTACTGGTCATTTGGTCAGTTATTCGCTATAACATAAAAATAACCAACATTCTATATCGGTCAAATTTTATTTGAAATTAAAATAGGGCTGGCAGGTTAAAAACGGACAACAGACATGTTGTGCAAAAGGAGAGCCTCCGTCAGGGTTGTGTATTCCATAAAACTTACAGACAATTAATGAGGGTGTTGCATGTTAGATTACTACATGTCCTGGGCGTAGGGGGTGGAGGTTGGAGGAGTATTCCTACTACTATCTTTTGGTAAAGAAAAGTAAATGATTGAATAAAAGCATGTTTGATTAAAAACTCATGTGAGTAAATTGCCATTCACTATGGCATTTTTGACAGGGCACTTACAAGCCCTCTGGTTTTAGCCACTGGGCCAAGGTTCATTATTATGTAAGAGAACTCATTGCATAACACTGCAGATTTAAACTGCTCACAAATAATAATTGAAGTTGGCTGCGTTTGCATCAACCCGTTGAAGCCCATATGGAGCACATCTTGCTGCAAAGCACAAGGCCTTAGTAAATCTCTCAGGTATGGTTTTCCAAAAACACAGCATTGATGAAGCCAGAAAAAAAATCAGTTCTCTGGCACGCAAAGGCAACGTAAGGCTAAGTTCATCTTAGAACAATTGCCACCAATGGCTAAAGATGCTTTTGGGAAACACAGCCCAGCTCGTGTGGAACTGACGGCTTGAGCTGATGCTGCAGTTCGTGCACATGTGGGGTCATTTATTGCTGGCCAAACATAAAACAAAACAGCTGCTCAATGTTTGCGTGTCCTCGCTGCGCCACTAAAGGTGACATCCTGGTGTGCCCCGCTTGGACCCGAAGACATTTTGTGCGTTGTTTGTGTATTTAAATCCCAGCAGGGCCATTGAGTTTCACAGCTGTTCCTGTCATGCTTTGTACAATGAAACTTCAATGCAAAATCTCTGTGACAGAAAGTAGTAAACTGCCTTTAAATGGAGGAGCCTAGTCCACAAAACTCAGTAGTGTATAGGGGGACATTCACCAGGGTAATCGGGCATGTGACAGGTGTTTGTGTCTTTGTGTACTTCACCCAGTGGACACAAAAGCCCTGGACGAATGCAATGTCCCCACTACATCAAAGGCAGACAATAGGCCCTCACTGAGGTACAGAGAGTCCAAATGCATGTCCGATCGCTACTAGCTCATTAAAACACAAAAAGTGTTTGGCTCGTCTCCTCGCCCTCTTTTGTCCGCATTGCTGCCTCGGTGGCAAGCCACACAATATCAGGCACTTCAGAACTGGGCACAGAACTACCAAGCTTCGCGTCAGCTACTTGGGCTGTTGCTTAGCGACTTCCCTCAGCTCGCCGACTGTGTGTGACCTGCCACGAGGAGGTGAGCTTTTAGTTCCCTGCTCACCCTGCCTGATGAGAAAACTGCAAAGTGCAGGTGGGAGGAGACGTTTGGAATGCGCGAGTAATATATTTACACTGAAAATTGCACTGTAAATACTCAACACTTAATTAAGCGAAAAACTGGGAAATGTTGGACACTATATTCTCTCAAGTTCCGTAGCGGAGGGGTTGGGGCCATCAGACTCTAATGCTGGAATTTACAAAAATAACCGCAATTACAAAAATTACTAGCAATTTTTTTTTTCTGGAGGCAGTTTGTTTTTTGACAGGCAAAATAGAAAATGGCTAAATTAAATTAAAAACAGTGGCTTCAAAAAGTATTTGGACACTTACATTTTTTTTTTTTTTTTTAAATGGCATCTGTGAAAAGGTGATGCTAAAATTTTCCCTTTGAGAGATTTTTGCAGTGATTTATGAATTAAAAAAAATAATACTTTGCTCGAAATGTGTGCTTGTGCTGTATTTAAAATAAATTATATATTATTTTATATTTTGTCATATTATTTAGAGACATTCATCCATTTTTGGTGAGACTCTGAAAAGTTACTTTTTGGGTTACTAGGTATACGCGATTGCATTTTATTCTTAATTATTTTCACAAAATAGTTACTAATTTTATTACTGGTCATTTGGTCAGTTATTCGCTATAACATAAAAATAACCAACATCTTATATCGGTCAGAATTTTATTTGAAATTAAAATAGGGCTGGCAGGTTAAAAACGACAACAGACATGTTGTGCAAAAGGAGAGCCTCCGTCAGGGTGTGTATTCCATAAAACTTACAGACAATTAATGAGGTGTTGCATGTTTAGATTACTACATGTCCTGGGCGTAGGGGGTGGAGGTTGGAGGAGTATTCCTTACTACTATCTTTTGGTAAAGAAAAGTAAATGATTGAATAAAAGCATGTTTGATTAAAACTCATGTGAGTAAATTGCCATTCACTATGGCATTTTTGACAGGGCACTTACAAGCCCTCTGGTTTTAGCCACTGGGCCAAGGTTCATTATTTATGTAAGAGAACTCATTGCATAACACTGCAGATTTTAAACTGCTCACAAATAATTAATGTGAAGTTGGCTGCGTTTGCATCAACCCGTTGAAGCCCATATGGGAGCACATCTTGCTGCAAAGCACAATGGCCTTAGTAAATCTCTCAGGTATGGTTTTCCAAAAACACAGCATTGATGAAGCCAGAAAAAAAATCAGTTCTCTGGCACCGCAAATGACACACGGTCCACTAGCACTGACATTAGGGCCTTTTGTCTTTTAATTTTCCACAGCACAGCTCAGCAGTGCTTGCTTGCATCCTATTGATTTCTTCTACTGTAACATGTGATTAGTGAACAATTAAACTGTTGCAGCCAGAGAACAGAAATAACAAACATGCTGAGGACTTTTTTATGCAATAGGTAACTTTGAAAGTTAGGTAACTTTGAAAGGGAGTTGGAAAGGTGAATTAGAAAGGGAGACTGGGTTTTTGCTATAGTCGGCCCCAAATGTGGAATAGCATTCTGTTATCTTTTAGGCTAATCACTACAGAATCTCTGCTTAAACAAAACTTGTGACACTGTCACACATGACATGTGTTTTAACCACTCTATATATTATATAAAACCTACCTCTTGCAGAAGGCTTATAATATGTGAGTCTTTCTGAGCTTGTTTTCTGTATGTAAAATGTCTGTGTGTGTAATTTTTGTTTTTGTTTTGATTGCTGTGGTTTTTACAATTTTTGTACAGCACAGTTGTTTTGTTGTGCTATATAAATAAACTAAAACTAAACTTTGTAATTAGAATCTTCTTGTAACCTTTGTCCCTGAACCTTTATCTATATTTTACCCTGCTAATGCAAAATTAATTCTGTAAAAAGCACTTTATACTTAAAATAGAAGACAGTGGGAAAACAAAACTCTAGTGTTACATACTATAGGTTGGTCAAAGGTAATTTGACTCACCAGCCACAGAGATGATGAAGGAAGCATCCATGGGGTCGATGCCCAGGTTCCGGGCCCTTGCAGACAAATGGAAGTAAGGGATAAAATAAGCCAGCTGACTGAAGACTAGCGACCAGGTGTAGATGCAAAAGAAAGGGTTCTTCAAGAGCGAGAAGTCCAGCACTTTTTGGGGGTTTTCAGGAAGAGTTTCTGTTTTGCTGTTCTCAAGTAACGCATCCACGGGAGAAACCCCATTCATCTCAGGGGACGTTTTAACTTGGCTGCCATCCGTTCCGTTCACCCCATTCTGGATGGACTTTTTGAGTTCCGGATGTGGAAGAGAGTTCTGCTCATGAGCTGGGTTCTCTATTATAAGTGTGTCCCTGTGATTGGTGGATGAGCTGTCCATTATAGAAGTGCCATTGGACACAGGCGTGTTGCCATTCATATTGTTCTTAAGAGGATCTTTCTCTGACCCAGCCTGACGAAGGGTGGAGTTTGACAAGGGTGAAGCTGGAGGTCTAATGTTAATGGGCCGCAAAAGCATCCCAGAAGCCACAAGGTTCAGCATTAAACCTCCCAAAATCAACAGAGCTCCTAAAGACAGAACAAAAAACAGTCCATGTAAATAATACAATTTATTTATTTATTGAAAGGAATTGACACTTTTATTCAACAAGGATTTGTTAAATTACTCCAAAATTACAGTAAAGGCATTTATAAAGGTACACAAGATGTCTAATTCAAATAAATGCAGTTCTTGAAACTTTCCGTCCCCTCAAAGTATCCATTATATTACAATTTTTACAATAATGCAGCCAAAAGCCAATTACCCTGCCAAGCATACTGATCCAAAAGCAGCTGAGTGAAAGGAGCGAGGGCAAAGGTCAGACCCATGCCAGAGCGTCCAATAGAATATGCAGTTGCCAGTCTTTTTCGGAAATAGGTCACTGTTACAACAGAGGAGGCCTGATAAAGCAGAGCAAACCCGAGACCTGGAAAAAAAGGATATTTTTTTTGATTACTTTTGGCATAATAACTCTCCCAATATTTAACTTTGATTTATAAACAAAACATTACCAAATACTCACCAACAACTAACCCCATGCTAATGTAAAGGTAGATAACGCTGGTGGCAAATATGCTGGAGAGAAAGCCGGCGCTGACTAAAAGCGCCCCCACTATGGAAGTAACCCTGTTCCCCAGCTTGGCACAGGCCACCGAGGCCAACGGACCTAATGCGTCACAAACAAAGTTCATGATCTGTCATATTGACCATTTGGTTCAAAGGTTGCTATGGTGACTGTACCTCCGGAGAGCCTGAGGCTGGACATTATGGATCCAATCCAGCTGATGCTCTCGGACGAGCCACCAAACTCATCCTGCAGTGCCACAAAGAATATACCAAAGCTCTTCAATGTACCCATCACCAACACGTTCACCTGAAAATACAGCAGAAGATTTTAGCTCAATACAAAACACTTCAGTATTAACATAACAAAGAAGCTCTAAATCAAAGTATATAAAAGTGACATACCAGGAAACAATGCAGAACCACCATCCAACCCCAACCGCCATCTGGTGGGTCCACATACACAACCTCCTTCTTTTGATTCTTCATGGCCTTGGCTTTTTCTTCATTGCAGGAGGTTTTGGCAGCCTTGCCATCACTGGAACATTATCACATCCACTTAATACATTTAATAAACTTACCCCCGGTTTCACAGACAAGGCTTAAGCCTAGCCCAGACTAAAATGCATGTTTGAGCTGTTTTGCCTGAAAGCAGCTCACACTGAGATATCTCAAAATATGTCACTGTCTTTGTTTTGTTTCAAGATGCTCATCAGTAATGTTTTTTTTAAAGCATATTTATAAAAAGCTACTTAAATGCCCTAATTGAACTAAGGTTTAATCCTGGCTTAATCTAAACCCTGTCTGTGAAACCAGTCTGTAATACAATGCATCCACTAGTTAGAGATAAAGTTTCATATGTATCATGAGACCATGTAGACTGTTCACAGTGTTAGTACAAATCCATTGTGCATATCCGACTGAAATCCGATCATAGTAGCAAATGGAAACGCGGTAAAAAAAATTTTTACTAATCCAGTTTTGAGCAACATTCTTGTGGTTTGAAATCCTATACAAAATGCATTTCTCAAAATCCATTTCAAATCCGTTTCAGTCTGACTGCTCTAATCAGATTTCACGTAGTTTATGTAACTTTCTTTGCAATTAAAATGTAAACATTTCAGACATTGTTATAGTAAATGCGCTGAAAGTCGATGCAGAAACAAGGTTGTGTTGTTGCAAAGTGACAATATAATAGAGACATGTTGAATTTTGTTTTCAATCCAACAGCAACTTGAATGGGTCCACAAAACCCTAAGATGTTGTCTTATTTACAACATGACAATATGTAGCCACCGCGCTGGACTAGGCCTACTTTAAGGCCTGTTCACACCGGGACGAATTTTGCGCGCGTTATTCACCGACGTTTAACGCCTCGTGACTAAACAAAGGGCGCCAATGTGAGTGTGCACACCGACGCGTAAAAAACACCACGTGTAAAAGCGTCATTTTAAAAAAAACGCCTCGGGTTCGTTTTTTTAGTTTGACGCGCTGCATCAAAAACTATCCAACCAATGAAATTGGCGCTTTTGCTCACGTGTTTGGACATTATATTCAATGTAAATTCGTCCCCAGCACTTTTTCATAAAGCAAGTGTGTGTACGACAAACTGAGGTTTTCGCAGGTGTATAACGTTACCAAACATCGTGATTTAAAATCCAGAGTCAAGGGTAATCTTCACGTTTCCATGGTGATCAGTCACTCGCGCATTAGCCTACGACACGTCCATGCTCGCACCCGCGCCGAATCCATCAGTTTCAAAGAGTTCAAAATGGCAAAAAACTCTTCACTCCTTTTTCACGAAAAAATCAAGCACTGTAAATAAGTTGTCATATACTATCCGAATTGTGTTGCACAGTGATGAATAACTCCGCCTATTTTTCTTGTTGAATAATTAACAGGTTTTGTTGTAAATTAACTACCCAAACAAAAATGCAATATTTCTACGCATTCTCATCCCAAGGCGTCATATCTGTCACTTTTGCAAAAACGTAAACATCCAACGCACATGGCACCCTTTAGCGTCAAATGAGACGCTTCGGTTATGGTAGGTTTAGGTATGGGGTAGGGTTAGGGTTAGACCACTAGGAGGCGCCCCACATATATCTGCGTCTCATTTGACGCTAAAGGGTGCCATGTGCATTGGATGTTTACACTTTGGCAAAAGCGTTGTATATGACGCACAGATATGTTATCAAAGCCCTTCAAAATAGAATAAACATGGTGAATGTTAATGCTGAATGTGTATTTTCAGCCACGATGTGCTTGAATCAAGCAGTGTTGTTGTAACATAGCCCACATGATGTTTATCATCATTTGGTAACACTTTACAATTAGATAAAAAGTTTGTAGACAAACTAAGTTTTCTTGAAAAAGCCTTACTAGAAAGTTTGATGTAGTTTTAAAAGCTTGAAGTTTGAAGGTTTTCAATTGGAAAGTTTTAGTTTAGTAAGACAGACTTTGTTTAGGCTAGTAAGAAAATGTAATTTTGCCATAAGAAGAACTTTTATTTTAAGTAAATGTTATCAGCTTCAGTGTGATATTTAACCTATTATCATGCTTAACCATAATTTGAATAATTGTAATGCGATGATCAGATATCTAAATCAGAGAAAATCATATGGTTGGGCTGTTGGATTATTTATTTTTAAGAGCAGATTCGGGGGACTCAAAGTGCACCAGATTAATGAATTTATCTTTAAAATGTACACATTTTCTTACATTTTGCTGCCCCTGGACCCCCCTAGAGGTACCGAGATCCACCTACAAAAATACTGTGGGTAACACAGTAGACTATGATGGTCTACGAAAAATACACATTTTATTATCTTAAATCATTAAAAGGATTCTACCACCTCCGCCTCATTTTAAGCCAGGAAAAACCCTGTATGTGTAGGCTAATATAAAGTACTTGACAACTTTCTTTCTTTCTTTCTGTTTTGCTTTTAAAATAAATAGCATATTAAGCCAATTAATCAAAAACCTGTCAACACAAAACTGAAGAAGAAAAAAAAATTGGGATTACAAATGACATTTGGTCCCCCTCACTTTTGAAATGATGGCTACGCCCCTATTTAAAGGCTATATAATTTTCAGCTCCACTGGCACTTTTTAACAACACAGAGACCTTTAGTATGCTTCCTGTAACAACTTCTGGCATGTTATCCGTGACTCGAGAAAGCTACGTTTACCACGCAAAATCTGATAAAAAAAAAATAATTAGAGCAAACAGACTGAAACAAATGCGATTTGAGGATTGTGTCTGAAAACGAATTTCATGTGATTTCTCACATTCACATTGCTAAACGTGATCGGATTCCAAACGGACATGCATAAAGATCAGATTTGGACTGACAGTCTGAATGAGGCTGAATGTTAATTTTCTGGAACATACAAAAAAGGGCTTCCGTGAACAGATTAGGTAATTTAACAAAGACAAATATACCAAAAAATTGTCCTTTTTGATTTTTCCAATAATTTCTTTTCTATCTCTTTTGCACTGGACCCAAAAACAGTATCGTCAGCATAATGCGGTGTGATCTGAGGCTATTTAAATATTTTATGTTACTGGGGGTAGTAGATTATGATGACATCAGTAGTACCATGCTCTCTTTAGAGTGGTTCAAATTTGAGTAAACATGGGGATGCCACTGGTTTAATCTGGTGATCAGTATGAGGTGAGGTGTTTTGGATCCAGGCCTGATTCCACTTTATGTACAGCTGATACAGCTGAATACAATGTGTGTCTAGTACAGTGTTCAAAATGACACAGACAGACTAAGCGAAAGAACGGTCATAGGGTAACGGGTTCGTTCAAACAAACACCTGGCATAACGTTAACCAAACTGCGAGTCCCTGTGCAGAGGTGGTGGATCCTTTGAAATATTAAACAGAGATAAATACTTGCTCAACTATAAATACAGAGCAATCAAAGTCAGCACCACAGGTGGTTCCAGCTGAATCAGGAACATTATGAAATTTGCTGATTTTAAAATGTATGAGAGCATATTTACCGTAGACACAACTGCATAGAATTATATATATATATATATATATATATATATATATATATATATATATATATATATATATTATATTAAAGGTCAATCTCCAAGCTCCAAAAAGCAAAAAAAAAAAAAAAACCAAAACATCAAAGTCTCATAGAAATAAAATATATCAAAGCCTCATATATATATATATATATATATATTATATACATTGTGTGCTTTGTATGAGAAATTTAGCATGAGAAATAGACTAAAATGTAATGCTTTATTATGAAGTCATGGTCACCATTCACTTAAATGACAAGTAAACTTAAATCAAGTAAATGACAAGAACATGTTCTTTGTTGAATGAACTATCCCTTTATCTAAAGACTGGCCCACACTAAGCTTTTTCAACATCTTATCAGGTTTTCAAAATGTGAGAGAGAACAAAAATGACAATTTTTTTTTTTTTTTAAATCATACATTTAACAGTTTTGTTAGTGTATGGAGTGCTGCAATGTGACCAAGACAGCACACCACACACATTTCATTCACAAACAAAAAACAAGAGTCCCGACTGTGGAAAATCTGTTGCGGTCGTTAACACACATCACACCTAAGAGGAATCTGATAAAAAAAAAAATATTCTGTAGAACCATTAAGATCAGGGACGGGCAACGACCTGGAGTTCAAACACACCTGAACAAGCTAATCAAGGTATTCCGGATGTCTAGAAATTTACAGGCTGGTGATTTTTTCAGGGTTGGAGCTAAACTCTGTAGGACATTGGCCCTCCAGGACCGACGTTACCCATCCCTGATCAAGATAATCTGAAATATACCAAGGATTTTCGGAAGAGGAGAATTGAGCCCAAAATTGGCCTGATTATCTTGAAGTGTGTCTGCGGTCAAGTGTGTATACATTTTAAAGACAAAAACAGTTCTGTAAATTGAGTGTTTCATTGATGAAAACACAACTGTGTCAATAAAATATGTGGTTTGTCTCGTTCAAGTAGTTGGCTGTTCCTTCAAGAGAAGACATGTGGAGAAGCCAAAGCATGCAGAAACTGCTTAGAGGATTACAGAGCAATGAATCAGGCCAGTGTGTTGTAGAAAACATTTTCTTCCATGTGCTTAGCACAGGCCACCCCGGAGTGGGTTTCCATGTGTGTGTGTTTGCATGCATGTATGCAAGATCAGAAATGTAAATGCCTCGGTTCAAGGGGGCAAGTGCAGGAAGATATATTGGTTAGGTACTGCCGCAGACTACCATCCACCCTGTTCCTCACTCCGACACGTCTACTCAAAAGCCTCTTAAAAATCTATTACCAAAAACTGCATTTTTGGTAATTGCCCTATGCAGCAAAATTGAGCGAGCAATATTAGTAATCAATGCATATAGACAAAAAGGGCCATCCATAAGGCATTCTCAAGTCTTAAAAGAATAGTTGACCCAAATTCTTATAATTTTCTCACCCTCATGTTGTTTCAAACCTACATTAAGTTCTTTCTTCTCCCGAACACAAAGGAAGATATTTTGAAGAATGCCGGTAACCAGACAGTTGATGGACCCCATTGACTTCCATAGTAGGAAAAAAAATATTATGAAAGTCAATGGGGTCCATTAACTTTTTGACTACTGACATTCTTAAAAATATCATTTTTTGTGTTCAGCAGAAGAAAGAAATTCATACACTTTTTAAACTACTCGAGAGTGATTAAAAGATGACAGAATGTTCATTCTGAAGTGAACTAAGAGCAGACACTAAACAAAACATTTTAACATCCTAAATATGACATATTCAATTGTAGAGTCACTACCATGGAAAAGGAGAGTTGTGGATTTGGATTATGACAATCATTTAAAATTCCCTAAATCCTGATTAAAAAAATAGCAAAATAGCTGGAATAGCAGACTCACCAGTGTTGGTCTTTTGGCAGCATAGTTGTAGCACGTGAAAATGAAGGGCCTTATTTATGTGTCATCTTCTGCATGAAGCTCAACTAGTAGATCCCGTATTTGACGAACCTGTTACACAAACTCTGTTATAACTTGCTGTGTTTTGAATATTCCCCAGAAAAGAATCGTTAATCATTTGGTGTTCAAGGTGTGAGCATACTTAAAATAATTCTTTTTCACAATTTTCATCCGTGCTGACAGACGTATGACGCAGTTATTCTTACATTCATTGTTAGCAATGTCATTTCTAACAATGCATTTTTTTTTATTTTTAAAAAATTGTAGTTGTTTGCATACCCGTGAAGAACTTTATACCCCCGTGATTGTGGAGCAGAGTTTCTTGTATTGGATTTTTGTAGGGGGTTGGTCCTTTTTAATTAGTTATATCACATTCATTCAAGTGAGAATTGCATTTAAATCTATAAATCTCACTCATTTAAAGAATCTGTAAATGCTATCTTGTCATTGTGACATTACAGCTAGAGGAAGGAAATCCTTTGACCTCTCCATTGATTTTCTGTATGTTTTCTAAACACATACATTCACAGAAATACATTTCCACACATTGGCTCCCAGTGTCTTCACATCAAACATTTAGATTCTACAAAACACACACAACTTATTCAATGTAAAAACAATGTAAACAATGTTAAACATAGGCCTAATAGTAGGTTTGGTAAGATTGAGTAAGATTAACAGAGCATATTCTAACTTTGGGAGAAAGTGTTTTCTCTTCAAGCAGTTTATATGATACAACATCTCTCTAGTCTACTTTATTAAAGCACTGCCATTGTCATAAATGGCCATAAACTTTTATTTAAACAAACGTTTTGCACCCTTCAAAAATGCACATTGGGAACGCACTGTTCAGGACATCTTGTCTACAACGTGATGATCATCCTCAAACATCAACTACATCGACGACAACTAAGTGAGGTATAGTTAAACGTCTAAACGCTTAAGCTTAGTTTATAATCCTATACCATGGCAGGAAACATTGGGGAAAATCACGAGGGTGTTGCACTCTGCACTTACCCCAAACGCCAAAGCTGATGCTGTCGCGCGCTGTCCGCAGCCGCATAGCGCTCGTGTTTGGTTCGCGCGAGCCCAGCGGCGTTCATGTGAGTGCGCGCTACTGGAGTGCAGCACTTTACACCTATCGATAACAGTCGATGAAAAAACAATGTCATTAAAACTCCGACATTGTAGGCCACGATCAATGCTTCATGTTCTGATAAAACATATCGGGTTTTAAATTAACTGCAAAGTGCAGCCGAACACTAAAACAAAGTTCATCCCAAAATACCTGCCGTTTCACACGTTATGCTGCCTATAAAATTTTTCAAATAAATTAAATAATTTACACCACAGCGAATCATGTGCTAGCACAATGATTCAACTAGGCTATCAAATTTAAAGGTAAACAAATTCGAAAAGTAACCTAACGTTACTTTGTTCAAGTAAAGCATCAAATAGGCTAGGCTGCTTTCTTTTATGACTTACTGAACACAGAAATCCATCAAAATAATGAAATAAGTGAAATAAAAAACATTCGCTATTAAAATGACCCGTGAGAGAGACACTTTAAAAAAGAGAGACAATAGAAAAACTAGTCATATTTAACTTGTGACATGTCTACAACCGAACAATTTATTTTGCTGTGAATTGTCAAGGACCATTTCATAGAAACATATGGTCGGCGACAAAAATAAGGACTTACCATATTTCCCGAAACGATCTCAGTTAGTTTATTCCAGACCAGATTTCACTTGTTAAGGCTTGATTTGTGTTGACGTTTCCTAATGCGCGCATCTGCAGTTACGCTGCGGGCAACAGCCGTGGATTCCCCGGTTACAGCTCCTCCTATGTGCTGGTATATCTTATCAAAATCATCCTTGAACATGGCTGGACTCCCTGTGCTGGATTTCTCTTACTCTCTGAAAGTTTGCCCCTAGTCTCTGAATATCTCGAGGGTCTCATCTGACCCCTTTGACCGGCTCAGATCGGATGCAATGCGCCCAGGCTGTGCAGAGCCAAATACTGGCCCCTAGTGCATTTAATGACCATGTGACCGAAACCTAGTAGCCAAGTAATCAGGTGGAACAAATGTCAGATGCTTTCCTGGACTGTGGGTATTTGAAAGAGGTTACTACACTGTGACAGCTTCAGGGGAAAATTATGAATGCATAGGTATTCAGATGATTTCACCATGCATGAGGAAAACCCTAAAGGCAGTAATGTGAGATGCTCAGGCCCTTAAAAGGTCGGTTGAAGGCAGGTTAATATTTGAGTCTGTTGGAACACAGGTAAACAAACAGCAATGAATGACAGACTGTCCTGTATGATCTAGATATTTCAATGCAGCAGGTAAACATTGCCATGTGTCGAGTGTCTTTCTTTAGTCAGGTCTCATTATGGCACAATGGGTCAAACCTTCCATAAATACACCTGCTTGTATTCTGAAATGTTAACCATACAGATGTACTTGGAGAATATTTATCTGCTGACTTAAACAAACCTTCTGCAATATTTAGTTGATCCCGAAATTGTCAAACTATTTCGAGCTGCAATTCAGATCATATAATCTGTCCTCTCTGTTGTGTATGGCATTATACAAAAAGATATAGTGCAATTCTTTCAGATGTGTTTTCTCTAGTCATGAAACGTTATGTTTACCCACACATTGCGTTCTGTTGTTGTCAGTGCTGTTTTGTGGCTCACAAAAAGTTAGAACATCTACTAAACATTACAAATAATACATTACAGATACAGTACGTCAAAGAATGGGACAAAAACTGCTTAGCTTGATTTCTTACCATGCATGCTGCTTTTTTTGTATACCTATTGCATATCATCATATTAACTGCAAACTTGGCAAATAAAAGTCTGGATCACCAGTCATCACATGCATTCAGAAGCAATGCGTCATGACAGGCCAGAGTGACTGATAAAAAATTCAGCAATCTTCAGATACCTAATTTTTTCCCCTCACACGATTAACTGGAGAGTGAGCATGACAAAAATAAGACAAATTAATTCTCTGCATTTTGCACATGCATAAACCAGTACAATCCAAGCAAACAAAGAAAAGAAAAAGGGATAGGAATAAAATTATAGTTGCCTCTTTTCAAAAGGTTCTCAACTTACATGTCTCTTTTTAAGAAATAAACATTAAAAAACACCTCACCTGTCTCAACTTTTATAATATAAACTGCAGCTCAGAATGAAAACACTTTTGCTCCGATTTGATTATTTTCAGTAATCTGCTTCATGCATATATGTTACAACTACTGTCCCCTTCTGAGTCTGACAGACTACGGTAATTCAACTAAAGCACCTCTCACGTACATATGCGCAATAAGACACAGTCAGAATAAGTTTCCTTAAATAACATAATTTATTAACTGGAAACAATATTGTTTGACCAAAAAAGCAGTAAACACATTTGAACTATGGTATATGGTTATAAGAAAGTACAAACATTGGAAAAGAAAAGAAATTAGTGATTAACCACGGACAACAAACATCTGATGGTTTCTGATATAAAGGAAGACTTGATCTGAGCCAATCATTAAGCTTCTATGTTGCTGACAATGTTAAAGATTTTCAAACTCTGTTTAATGCTGTTTAAACACATTCAATATCTGACATTTAGATACAAACAGAATTCATGATGCCATCTTATGCACAGCCAGTGTAATTGTTCCATGTGTTCTCACCAAAATGTTCCTGCAATAACAAAATTACAAACATTGCCCAATTAATACTTAAAAAGCTGCTGCAATATGTATTATTATAAGTCTCTTCATCATAAATTTAGGATGAGGATATTAAGCCTTTAAGATCTTGAGTTTGTTTTGTTGGTCTTTGTTCTCTGTCAAATGAAGCTTAATCAGAAGCTTCTTACCCACAGTCAGACTCCAGGCACACAGTAGGGCAGTCAGTGGGGTCTTTGGTTAGAGAAGCAGCTTGCTTGGCCAGTACAGACACAATTCCTCCATGTTCATCAGAGAGCGAGCCACGGCCTAGAGATTAAAACATTAAAGAAGCTTACAGTTATAGTATTAAGTCGTTCTCATATTATGGTGAGAAATAGAATAGATTTCAAACATTCAAGAAAACCCATATAAAAGCACAAGTCTATAACCCTATATTTGATTAAACAATATATTTAATGGTTTAACTCTATATTGCTCAATTTGCTCCTGTGTGCAGCAGATTATATTTTCTGTGCAGATTTAGGATTTAAGGAGAGGACCAGAAAATGATGTGTTGATTTTATAGGGCAGTTATAGAGAGTGTAATTAATTAGATATGGCATTATGATATGGTTTGGTAACCTCACGGCTCAAGCAAAGTTTAATCTTGCTCGCCTGGTAAAAATAGTGATGAAGACCATAGGGAAAAAGGAACATCAGTTTTTTGAGTCATTGTATAAACAGTCAGTTCTTAGGGAACCACATAAAATTTTAGTTGAGGCATTGCACATAGAGTATGAATTGTTGCCCTCTGAAAGATTTGCATCTCACAATTCTAAGAAAAAAATAAAAATCAGAACTGAGAGTTTACAGTATACCAGTCAAAAGTTTTTAAACATTAACATTTTTTAATGTTGTTGAAGGAAGTCTATTATGCTGCTCATCAATGCTGCATTTATTTAATCAAAAATACAGTTAAAACAGTAATACAATTACACTTTAAAGTAATTGTTTTCTATTTTAATACATTAAAAAAGTAACTTATTTCTGTATTGGCAGAGGTGAATTTTAAGCATCATTACTCATTCGGTGTCACATGATCCTTCAAAAATCATTCTAAGATTTAATGATCAAGAAACATTTCTTATTATTAATGTTGTAAACAGTTTTTATTTTATATTTTGTATATTTTTTATTTATATTTGTTCATTTTTTTATATTACAATTTATAATTATTTTATTTCAGGTTTTTTTTAAATTTATTTCTAATTTGAATACTTCAATTTAAATTGTAAACTGAACAACATTCACAACTTTAGTCATTTTCTACTGGCCCAACTACACCTTCATTTGTACACTTAGGTGACTTAAATATTAAAATTATTGTTGTTGATGTTGCTGAAAAAATAAATAATTGAATGGACATGTAAACTACGCAAATACAGTCGTTACTGTCATCATGACCCAGTGGATGAACGAGACAAACCATACTTACATCCTAGATTATGGCCTTGAGCGTCTGTGCACAAAACCCCAACAATGGCAGGATTTTTCATCCTAGTGTAAGAAAACACAGATTAGTGAAGCAACACACAAAATAAGTAGGCTATACGCTTGGTAAAGAACGATATTTTTAACGTACGTATCATCAAGATGCTGTTCCAGTGCACCCTCCATAATAGCGGCTTAAATAAAGATGTAAAATTAACAGTGAGGGTAAATATTGTGGAGAGAGGGGAAGCGACGGTTATTATTTTGACTACTTCCGGGATGTCAGCTGACATCCTAACATGCGACTCAAAGACTACGGCGTCCTCCAAGGAAAAAAACACTAAGCGAATATGATCTAACGCCATCTAGCTCAAGTCAGCATTGTCAGTAAATAAGAAAATATTGTAAGCAGAGAAACACTCTCCATGTAGTCTGTAATGAAGTATGTGTTTGGGTTAAATTTAAGTTATATGATACAGTGTAACAACAGACTTATGACAGGAGAACTGCACAATTTTCTGCGCAGTCAGACTTGCTGAAACCAGCTTGGACCACTTAAAAAAACAAGCTATGTACCAAAACGCAGCAACCAGCTTTAGCTTAGCAGATGGTCACATATGTTTCAGTGTCAAGATCAAATCTTTTTTTCCCCCTCTACTTCCTTTTTTAATAATGCATTCTTAAAGAATTCTTTTAAAATTCTTTAAAGGGCAAATACATCCAGTTAACATTTAGCTGTCATTGTCAATGAGAACTCCCAGGGGAGCATGTGAATGTTCACTGTTGATATCTCTGGACGACCCATGCTCTGACCAAAAGCAAAAAAAAAGGCCAGTCATGCTCCTCACATTCAATTGTATTTTCAGAGTTCTTTATCAGAAATCGATGCTGTCTTCTCTGTTTTGAAAAGCCTTTTGTGTTTCGTGAGCCATTTTTGTGTATTATATAATATTAAGTATTATTAAAATGTGTCTATTATATAATACACAAAATATATGTTTGTATGTAGGCCTATATCATATAGCCTACTGTACTCTTCAAAAATACAGCCTACCTTGTTGTTTATGTGTAAATTGTGAAGTATCAGCAGCTTATTGAGCTCAATATACATGCAAATGGTATATGAAGCAGAACAACAATCCCTAGAGCCCAGTAGAACTGATTTAGGTTTCCAGAATGTATGCAGCTTAATCGGTAGCCTATCACATTTTTTTTAGTTCAGTTTAATTTATTTTCCATTCATTTCTCTCTCTCAATAGATTCAATAATAATATACCAAGATGCTAAGTGCCAAGATATTTTAACTGCTTTTACAAACTGCTATACTGATATATCAAATAAATGAAATATTCATTTGGCACTTATTGTGCCAAAATTACAAGATATTAGCATGTGCTGATAATTTAGTTTAATTAGTATGGGAAATATTAAGTAAAAATCTTTATGTATAATACATTATATAATTATTATATAAATTATAATGACCATTATCTGACATATGTATATCATACAATATAATATAATATATATGCTATATGTTATATGTTATATTATAATAACTCACCTCTATTTGGCTCAATGCTCATATTGCATTTATTATGAAGTTATGTTTAACAGCGTCCAAGCTCTTTTAGCCAAGGCAGGTTCTTCCCTGCTGGCAACGCTTGATGATTTCTGCCCAGTCCTGTGCAGTTAGAGCCTAGTTGGTCTGCTGACGAGGCAAAAAGTTGCAATGTAATTACGTGCCCGGCCATCAGTGGCATCCATCACTTTCACTGCAGCCAAGAAATGCACTGCTGACTAACCAATGGCATTTTCATGCTCTCGCTAAACGTAAATTAAATCCCAACAGATAGGACTGACATTTTCCAGTCGGCTATCCTTCACTCCAATTGCAGTCAAGTTGGATATTTTATTATAATTTCAAGTAAGCTCATTGATTCTGTATAATTCATTCCATCACATATCTCCAACGCAGGGGCTTTGATCATCAGCAGTTCATACAGGTCATATCCACATTTCCATGATGAAAAAAGAAGTGCCTGACTTCACAA